GCTTCCAGGCTGGCGTTTTGCGGAAAATGTTTTTGCATCACAGCTTTGGACTTAAAACTTGTATGACGCTGATTTTACCGGCATCGCGTTTGTCTCGTCGAGACGCGTCGAATGAACCTGACCTGAAAAGGTCAACTTTAAAATTCGACCCCTGGTCCAGGTCACGGAAAAGGTTATGTTGCATGCCATTTGATTGGTATTGTTGAGCTGAACACAGTCATGATGTTTTCAGCGCCATAGCATGTTTCTACCTAAAATTGTGGTAAAAAACTGTTGGAGATGTTTCATGACCTAAGATGAGCTGAGGGGCATAGAGGGGTCACAGGTGCAATTTTCCGGTGCAGTGTGTCATGTTTACCTGAATCACGGTGTTTGAATGTGTTTTCGGCCAAAAGAAGAGCATTTTAATTTTCTCCCAATGACCTATAGGGGAGAGTGGGGAAAGATGCCCAGGGTTTGATTATGTCATATATTATTCGAAAGTGACGATCGGAAAGCCAAAACTTGGAGTTTCAACGGAAGCCGACATCATTTTTCTCCAAAAATATCACACTTTCGTGCCTGAAATATGATAACTTTTTTTGCTATCAAGCATTTTCCTGAAGAAGTGAAAGGGGGCATCTTACCCCACAGGGTGGAAAAGACGCCCCCCTGGCGCTGGGTAAGATGCCCCCTGCACTAAAAGTGACATAAATAGGCACGTGAATCGCCTGAACGAATCAGTAGTCCCTTCGAGCCTGCAGTAGACACCAAACGTCATCGTAAGGGCCCTCAAAAGTAGTCGTAAGGGGCTTCAGAGGTCATCGTTAGGGCCATCATAGTCCAGCGTGGCCAAACAAGCCTCCGTGGTGGCGTTCGGAGACCACTGTGGGGCCCTTATAGGTCTTCATGATGCTTGAGGGCCCTCGAGCCCATCGTGGGGACCTCAGATGCCAGCGCGGCCCGTGGAGCCAACGTGGGAGCCCTCAAAGGATGTCGTGAGGGGCCATAGAACCAATATATGGGGCCCACAGAGGCCGTCGTGAGGACTCTCAGAGTCAGATGACGCCCAAAAAGTCGCTGTGTGGGCCGAGAGACCGGCATGGGGAGCACCCGACCGTACCGGACTCTCAATAGTCCCAGATCGGCTTTTGTCTCTCATCACAAGTATGTAATACATGATTTGACGGGCTGCTTGAAGGACAGCCTACGGATTTAGGGGGGCGTCTTTCCCCATCAGGACAGGGGGCATCTTACCCCAAGGTACCGAAGTAACATTAAATCAGCACAATTTGTTAGCCATAAAACTACACCCTGAAACAAACTGTTTGGGACACAGTACACGCATGTTAATGTATCACGACTATAACAAGGGACGCAAAAATTATCTACCTTTTTTGATATTTACAATGTTTTGACGCCAGAATATTTTTTGAAAGCAGCAAATAAAAAACATGCAATCACCAGCCAGCCGTTGCCCAACTGAGCTTCGCAAATTTTTGTGCAGTTAACAAGGCAGGCTTCTGCTTTACGCTAAGAACATTAATTTCCAGGTTCGATTCTTTGTTTCCCCGCTAGAGGGGGTGGGGCGTCTTTCCCACCCTGGGCATCTTACCCCACTCTCCCCTAATGGAGAGGTCGTAAAACTGACCTGACATTAGGTCACCGATGTGAAAACTTTGAGATACGTATACGAATTTTTCATACTGATTTCCTCAAGTAAAAGCTCGAGTTTCAAACTTCTGGGGGGTAAACTATAGGAATGAAAGAGTCACAAAGTTTTTAGAGGCATGCTTACTTTACTTGCCCTAGTGACGTGACCTTAGGTGACCTGGGGTCAAAACTTTCACACACGATGCGAAATTGAGGCATAATAAGTTATACCAAGTTTCACAGCGGTGCGCGCCGCGGTTTTCCTTACACGCGCAAAAAAAGCTGGCAGGTGTGGCCAAAAACGCCCCCCCCCCCCTCCCCCCCCCCCCACACACACACTCCGGCGAAGGCTGATCCTGAAATATCATATTTGGTCTTCGCGGCCCTCCATGCATGGTCCCCAGTAACTTCAGACTCGTGGTTACGCGCCTGCCTATGTAGTTCATCAGCGTATATTATTTTGAGCGTTTAAACCCTAGAACGCCTAGGGGGGGGTTGTATCAACCCCCCCCCCCCCCTGAGGTTTTTTCGAAGTGCACGCTAAACGGCTTGTCGTAGCGGGCTGAAATTTTCAATACCCTCTGGGGCAACCTTTGCGCATCTTTTGCCGAAAAAAATTGATCGGGTCATGTCAGGTCACGGAGTTATGACGTCATAAGAGGTACAGCCTCCGGCCGGATTTTCACAAACTGAGTGCCAACGCCCGAGGTTTCCTGCCGGTCGTACGGACATCGGTTGATGGATCATGATGAAACTTCCCATGCATGTTGGGGCAAGTATTGGCTATCATATGGTATAAGAAATTTGACCGGGTCAGGTCAGGTCACGGAGCTCTGACGTCACAAGAGGAACAGCGTCCGGTACTATTTTTGAAAAGCGCCCGAACCACTATTTTGCTAATTCTTGTCACCTCAATGGGAATATGCAGCAATATTAGCTTCTATAGGGAGCAAATGGACCTCCCAAATCCAAAAATACAATCAGATTTCAAAAATTTAAATTTTGATTTTTCGAATTTCTGCCGCCGACTGTGACCTTGCCGACTTCCGGCGCTCCCAACGCGCCATTTTTAGAGCTAGGGAAACGAAATACATACCAAACAATAGAGGATTGATCAAGGAACACGATAGTGAAGGTTTCAAGTCGATATCTCCCACCGTTTTGCCGCAATCGCCGCCGAAAGTTGAAAAAGTCTATTTTTCCGAAAATTTGACCTTTGACCGGTCAAAAGTAGGTCAAATGTTGACCTAGGACCAAAAAATATACCACCGATCGCGAGATCTCGTTGAGAGCAATCCGTTGGTTTTTTCCGCTAAGCTCTACGACCTTCCGTTTCGAAACGCCAGGGGGGGGGTCGTAACAACCCCCCCCCCCTGGTCGTTCGTGTTATGAGAAATGGCCTGGTCGTGCGAGCCCTTGATAGCAAAATACATTAAGCCGATGAAGCCGATCTCATAGTTTTCAATCGCAACAAACCATTTCAAAGCACTTATCAAACACAATCCGGATTGGATTGCAAAAATTGGAAATATGATGCAATCCAATCCGCAATCAAATCCTGTTTTTTGGAATGGATTTCAAATCCAGGTGCAATCCACCAAAAAGGAATGCAATCAGGATTTTGCAATCCTGCAATCACAATCCTACCGATGCCTGATTATACATACCTTGCAAATATGTATAACGCTAAATTTCTCAAAATTTCCTAAATTGTGTGTTAACCTTCCAGGCGGTGGGGGGCATTTTTTGCCCCCCCCCCTTAGTTTTTCTTCAAATATATCTCCAGAACCGTTGCGCTGATCGTCACCAAACTTTCAGTACCCTCCCGTGAATAGCTTTTACACATTCTGACCAAAAATTTTCCAAAAGCTATGATAGGTTGGCCGCTAATGACGTCGCAGTGACGTCATTTTTGCCATTTCCGACCCAAAAAAGGTTTCGCGGGAAGAGCTGTCAGGCCTTCAGCTTTAGTGACACAGAAAAATGTTTCAACATAAAAGGTGTAGAATGAACAGGGCTACAAAAATATTTTCTCGGATTTTTTTTTAATATTTGGATTTTGACTCCCAAAAATCAAAAAATAGATTTTTAAATATAATAGCCAAAAAATCCAAACAGTTTTTTGAATTTCGAAAAAAACGGAATATATATGATAGTCCCTATCGCCTTCTATCCACATAGGTACCAAATTTGAGATCAATATGTCTTTTTTGCCAAGTTATAGGAAAAAACTGTTCAAAATTGATGACGTCAAATTTTAAACTCATTTTTAAGCAATTATAGACCGCGTAGCGCAAAACAACGACCACCATTAGACTCCCCACTTTTAGTGAAACACCTTGAGGATCTTAAATCGGGTATCAATCTCTGCGTCTTGTAACGGCGCACACGCTCCTTTTTTCCTCGACGGCGCTAGCTCCACCAGGGGCGAAACGGCGAGGGGGGTCGTACCCCCCCCCCCCCACGGCCTATTGGCGGACCCTACCACCCGTGTGTGTGTGGGGGGGGGGGCTTCCCCCCCAAGATCTCGAAAACTTAGCGATCCATTTTCATAACTCAATCAACATACGATAGCCCCACCAGGGAACTACCAGTTTCGCCACGACTCATTTTCTTTAAAAAATATATATATCTTAAGGAAAGATAAAATACGATAATAGCAAAACCCAAAGAGCTTATCTTCATTCGTGTTTTGAACATATCATCCCAATAAGTTAACAACTTTAAAGAATGCAAGCGTCTAAAGCTGAAAACATGGCAGTCACCCCCGTTTACGGTATGTATAATGTGTAGGTATGCAGGTAGAAAACCAATTAGGCCGGCGAGGGATAAGCAAACAATCTTAGCATGCATTGATGCCTGAATAAGGTACCTAATACAACGCAAAATTAATGAAACAAACCGGATATCTCCCAATATACTTGCCGGCTACCGAATATCTAGACATGCTTTCAGACCATGTCCGATTAACTCGAAATTTTCCCAAGAGTTTTCCGTAAAAAAACGGGAAAATTGCATCAAACCCGGCATAGCGAGGGGTTGATAGGTATACTACGAAATTGTATCATATCAAGCGTATTACACATACGAATTACGAAGTATGCAAAATTGCATTCGATTTAGTTTATCAGGTCGATGACCAAGATTATCGGCCCAAATCCGATGAGACAAGCAGAGTCATGGCTACCTTGACTTTGGTAGATATAGGCAGTAGCAATCTTGAGCACCCCCAAAGATTATTCACCCATGAAAAGGTCCCTCAATCTTCAAAAAATTACACTGACCTACTTCAAAAAGTGGTTCCTGTTCTACCGGGAGTTCCGCCTTTGTTCTACCTTAAATTCGGCGAAAGGGTGACCTTCGCTCACCTGCCAGGCCAGGAGGGGCCCCATCGCACCCGGCTCCCACAGTCCTCAATCCGGTGTCATCCCCTAGCAGCGGCTCCCTGCCGGTCGGGGGTACGGATCCACTGTACGCTGAACGGTGCACGGTGCACAGCCACCACTGAGGGAGGAGCGTCCCTGCATGCACTGCGCGGCAGTCGTCTCGCGGTGCGGCGGCCGGCCACTGAACCGGCGCGGCGCCCCCGGGCCGGTGCCGGCTCACGGTGCAACCACCTCCCGGCAGCAGACTCACTCCGCTGAACGGCGAACGGCGCACGGTGGAGTGGCCGGCTGTCATGCCAGGTGGAACGGGCGCGCTCAGCGCACACTGGACCTTCTCCGCAGCCAGAGAAGCACGATAAACTGGTGACAGGCAACGGTATTTTAGGAGATGTGGTTACGGCCCGTGCCCTTCCAGCTACTTCTAACAGTTTGTAGGAGGCGTTGGTAAGCTCAGTGGAGCCTGACGCTATGAAATTGGAAAGATTGAATTTCGTGAAAGTGAACTATTTCCTTTAATGCTCAATGCAATCGCTCCGACTTTTTACAAGACCTTCTCCTCGTCGTTGTTTCTCAGCCCCGTTCACGAGCTCCAGAATTCCTTTATCGTGACGTCACCACGGTGGTAGAATCTCCCTTCACCCATAGGCATGCATGCAAATTTCATCATCTTTCGAGCGAACTGGATAAAAAAAAACAAGGATTATGTGTCATCAAACGTTCTACCAATGTAACAATGAGTTCGCCTCATTACAATAAATGGGGCTGAAACTATAAAAAATAGGACTATAACGAGCCAAAATCAGCAATTCAAATGACCCCTTCATTTGAACGTGAAGGATTTCCTTGGATGACGTCACCACGGCGCCTATATTTCCCTAGTGAACCAACCTGAGTAGTAAAGGAATCTTGGTTGTTCTTGCTTTCAACGACTGGTCCCCGAGTGATGACTATCCTCACGCAAGATAAGATGAATGAAACTAGCAATTAGGTAAGCCCAAAAAACATATCGAAAATGTTACAAAACAATTCTTTTGAAGAATATAAGTTGAACGGTTTTGGAGCCTCACGAAACATGTTTCAGATATGAGTCACACAAACTGACGCAATAAAGACTGTTCAAAAGTGTGAGCGGCAGCTCCGCAAGCACTTGTTGACGAATGAAAAGCGTATGTACTGCGCGGTCGCCATAGCAACAAGTAAGCGTCACAAATTTCGAACACTATCCGAGTACGCCAGGTTCGACTACATCCGAGGACGATGGGTGATGGTTGCCGGCTGATTGTTTGAGATTGCGAGTAAAAATGTGTGTTGATTTCAAATATCATTGAATTAGTTTTTGTAAATAAATTAACTACAAACGCCTCTGTGCAAAGCGTTTCAAGAGTAAATCAAGGCTTATGAAAATCGTGAGTAGGGTTGGGAAAAGGATCGCGTGACAAGCGTCCCAACCTTATCTGTAAGAATCTTGGGACGTGCCACCACCATCAAAATAAAAAAGAAGGTAAGCTCTGCTTCGTGGTAGGAGCTGAGCCCGACCGAAATAAAAGAGCCAGCGGCCGAATCCAGGAAGAATCATGACGGACGCCAATCGTCACACGAAGCAAATATTTAACTATCGCTCAGCCGTGAGAGGATGCATTCGGCATCCTCGTGATCAAGTGGCGAATTTTCCGTCAGCCGATCATTGCCGACATGGGAACAGTGGACGTCATCGACAAGGCGGCCACTGCGCTCCACAACTTCCTACGACGACGAGACGGCGTCTCCAACGAGCTGCATACATCAACCCGGACGACGTGGACGTACAGGACGGCGATCATCTGCGAAGAGGCGCACGGCGGGCTCAACACGAGGCAGCTGGCGCATTCGGGCACGCTGGGCAGTTCACACTGGCGGTCGCAGGGGGGGGGCCACGGGGGCCATGGCCCCCCCTTTGGTGCTGAAAGGTGGGGCCATACTATCTTTTGGCCCCACCTTTCAGATCGAACAAAAGTCCTAGAAAAGCTTTTCGTATGTTTCATTTTCTTTCTTGCGCCATCAAAGGACGTAAATTTCACTCATGAGTGGGCTCAGTTTCGCATTCTGTCAATTTGGCGGTCAGCGTCGCTGGCACCGGTTCACGAGTATGGCCGGATCTTATATGGAATATCAGCGTGGGTTTACTTGAGGCTCTCGTAGGCCCAGCATTCAGCAATGGCTGGCATGAGACCCTCTTCGGCAGTGGCGGGTGGGCCCTGCTAAAGGAGATTGGCTCCAAGACACTAAAGTAAGACCTCATGGGTTGGTGCTGTGCACCTCAGAAGCCCGGTGGTGACGCCGTATGCCGGCTTGGTTTCTTAAGGATTAGCGTGGGACCTCCGGGGCCTGCATAGAGTTTGCATGAGCTAGTATGTACACACAGAAAAATATTGACACCGTTAGCGGTGTAATTGCACAGTACATATCTGAGCACTTGAGGAAAGTTAATTTAGTCCCTTCCCCGCTTAAATTACTCGCGCTTCCAAATGAACACCAGGAAGAAGGTAATAGAACACTGTTAGGAGGGTTGGGTGTTTTACTACATGTAGCAAAACACCGAACCCTCCTAACAGTGTTCTATTACCTTCTTCCTGGTGTTCATTTGGAAGCGCGAGTAATTTAAGCGGGGAAGGGACTAAATTAACTTTCCTCAAGTGCTCAGATATGTACTGTGCAATTACACCGCTAACGGTGTTAATATTTTTCTGTGTGTAAGCTCAGAGGCATGTGTGTAATGTGTACACAGTGGCGGTCGCGGGGGGCCGGGGGGGGCATCAGGGTCATGCCCCTAAAGGTCAATAAAGGGGGTCATCATATCATTTGCCCCCCCCCTCAAACAACCAATGGGCCCCCATATAGGTGTATGGGGCCCTGGCAATTATTCGATCGTCACGAGGCTAAAAAAAAAAAAACACGCCCAGCTATTAATATAGCTCCCACACCGGTCTTTGAACGTCCTACACTGACCTCTGACTGAGGGAACTTCAGTGGCGGTCAAGCGCCCACGCTGACCGCTTAGAGCCTACATCAACCTCTGAGGCCCCATATCTGGCCTATGAGGGCCCCTAACCGGCCTCAGGGGTCCCAACCGGCGTCTGAGGGTCTCACACCGGTCTCTGGTGGCCTTATTTCTGTCTCTGGTGTCCTACGACGAACCTTTAGGTGCCGATAAGGGCCCCGCACTGGCTGCTGAAGACCCGATGCCGGCCTCTAAGGGTCTGCATTGGCCTCTGAGGAGGGCCCATCTTGGCTTTTGAGGGCCCTCTGCTGGCCTCTGGGGTCCAACGACGGCTCATGCCGGTCTTTTAGGGCCCCACGCTGACCTCTGAGGGCCCATGCTGGCCTGTAATGAGTAAGGACCCACATTAGCCTCTGAGAGCCCAACTCGGTCTCTGATGGTCTCAAACTACTGGCCTTTGTAGTTTGCAGGCCCTGTACTGGTCTCTGAGGGCCCTAAACTAGCCTCTATATGAAAACATACATGGGTGGGTTTCTGAAGATCAGAGGGCTCACGCAGTCTCCGGCACAGCCTTACGTTGGTCCTGATCGAGATTGCTTTACGTCCTGATGGTCCCGCGCTGATTCCCTCATATTTCGAGGTCGGGACCCCATGAGCCGGTGTGTGTCCTGGGGCTGGCAGAGACTGATGAAGTCCTTAGGGCTCAGGGCCAGTCTTTTTAGCAGTAGGACTAGGCAGGTTGAGTGAGCCCCAACAGAGCCGTTGCGAAGCCCCGCAGGAGTCGCGCGCGACCCTCAGATGCCAATTCTGAAAGCTCGGAACCTGTGGGGCCTGGGGGTCTCCAGAGGCCGGTGTACCTACTCTCTCCCGCCGCCACACAACTAGGTACCTACCTATATGGGTAAATGTCATAGTCTAAAAATGCTCTCTGGGTTTCACATGCTTGTTCAAAGCAAGAGGTATCTGTACTTTTTAGCAAGATGTATCTGTACTTTTCCGAATTGTTTTATAGTGGTAAGGTCATGAATCCGCGTGCCTGACCTTCCACTTTCCAGTATACCTATGCTACACCGATCCGTCGTCATGGACGGTGCAGCGGCCCGACCGGTGGGCACACCGTGAGACGGTAAATGGAACTGGTGATTTTGCCTTAAATTGAGCTCAAAGATTTCACGCAAGAATGAGATGGATGAAGCATAAGTAAGGCCAACTGTGCGGCGCCTCGTGGACGTAAAACATTAGCCGATCACCCCCCCCCCCCTCCCGGTGACGGATAAATGTTATGTCCCGCGAGTGTGACTTTGGCCCCCCCTTTTGCTAGCGGCTGCGACCGCCAGTGGCAGTTCAGCACAAACAACGCTTCGACGGATGCCAAGGGGCTGAGAGATCATTTCGCATCTCTTCGCAACAGCTGAAGGACCAGTGCCTTGGCAGGATCGTGTGGTTCGCCGTGATGAGCTGAGCGAGCACACCTATGTCGTCACTCTGGCCCTAGTGGAATGCATCATTCGCTGGATGCATAGACAAACAGCGGGGTGGTTGCGCCGGTCATGAATTACTTATATTATGTGTAATTACATTTGGACCTCGTAAATGACACTACAACCAACAATAGTGAATAAAGAAAGTGACAAGAAGTCCAAGGCTATAGAACTCCAGGTAAGGACACCAGCCGTTTGACCTTGAACGCCGCCGGCCGGCCGATGACGTCATTGGAGGCAAGCCGGCTCGGCGGACACACAGGGCGAATGCATAACGGAGGGGCGTTGCGGGAGCCAGGGAGATATTTTAAAGTGGTTGCACACCACCATTGTTTGTTGATTGATGTACAGACTGCATCCTTTTAAACCTCGATGCATCCTAGGCCTGGATGGTGCGTACATTCGTGGAACGATCACCCCGTCCGACGTCCGTGGTCGAAGCTTTAAGACACTAAGACGGGTGCAATAACGGCGATCCGATCCCGTCTCTGGCGAATTTAGAGGGGTCGTAAGGACCCAGGCCGAATCTGACCGTCTATTTTTAGAGAAACGGGGTGGGTGAATTGACAACCGATGGCTTAAGAGATGATGAGAAGGGATCCCGTCGTCGATTGTTGTTTGACAGACAACACATGTTGTACTGGGCGTATGACCATCAGAGGTAATGC